ACTATTATTATTATCATTGACTTCGGACTTATTAGTTTCCAAATCTGTCTTGACTGTTGTCGTCGATGTTGTTGATGATGTTAACGTTGTAGTTTGTGATTGTTTGGCATCTTTTACTAAAATTTCACGAATTTGATCTAATTCCTCTGAGGTGAATACTAAAAAGCCTAAATAATTTGTAACTAATGCTAGAAATTGCTATGGGTAACGTCTACGTAATTCATACAAATCTTGATTTGGTTCAGCAATAAAAATATCTAATTGCGTAGAATAAGAACAATTGGAATTGAAAAATATGGAGGATGATGGTGAACCATTATTATTGTCAATATTAATATTATTATTATTATTATCATCATGTATTAATTCATTTCATATATCATCATGTTTTCTGCAAACTGATAATGTGGTACTTGATGTCACCAATGGAGCATTTGTGGGTACAACAACCTATAGTAATAAACCAATTAAAAAGATAATTTATAAACAAAACATAATGAAACATGGATAATTACTACACTTATACATATTACTTCCTGACATTGCGGCTCATCTTTGGTGGAAATTCGACTGTATCTAAACGTTCTCGAGTCACTGTCCGGTTGAAAATTGTGTTACCATCGATTACGAGAACTGAAGCAGCTTTTCTGAAACCACGTGCACCATTCAAACTGGCTGCTTTCAACGTTCGCACACTAGTGCAGGTCGGACAACAGATAGGGCTGGCTATGTCTTTGGAAATTCTTAATATTGATGTTTGTTGTCTATCCGAGACCCGTATTCAAGACTCTGGCGAAGTACTACAAATTCGATCTCCATCTGTCGCTTCGAAAAGCCTCTAGGCTAGCTACCACTCCACCGAAAAGTATAGATGAGCATTGGCTGCAATTGCTTGACGCCATGAAAATGGCGGGAACAGTCAGTTGTGGGTTTGCGAAAAGTCCCGCTTTTAAGCACTGGGTTTCTTCTTGTTCCTTACAACTCATTGAAGCCCGTCGGTCCACTCCGGGTGACCGTGAGTTTGAACATAAACGAAGGATGTTACGTAGGGAAATTGGGCAAAGCTTGCGTAAGGACCGAGAAGCCTGGTGGTCGGAGCGTGCTAATGAGCTGGAAGCAGCAGCTGCATCTGATAACTACCGGAAGCTCTTCCAGCTCATCTGAGCCACTGGCAGCAAGAAGTCTGGTGTGAGTGAAACAACCTGCGAGGATGATGGGATGCCAATCACTAACATCCATCGACGTCTTGGACGATGGGCAGAATTTTCCGAAGAGCAGTTCAACTGGCCTGCTGCTCCGGCAACATCGGTCAGACTGTCCTGCCCTCCATGGCCGGTGACGACTGATCCACCAAACGAGGAGGAAGTCCGCAAGGAACTCCAACTCTTGAAGCGTTACAAATCACCTGGCCCAGATGACTTACCTCCGGCTCTTTTTAAAGATGGTGGTGACTTTTTGACTAAGGAATTGACGACGTTGTTTACAAAGGTTTGGGAATTAGAGAGTGTACCAACGTCATGGAATGAGTCGATAGTTGTCTCTATCTTTAAAAAGGGTTCACGTCGTTCCTGCAACAACTATCGGGGGATAAGTCTACTTCCGATTGCGTCCAAGATATTGGCTTCCGTCATACTTCGTAGGTTGTTCAAAACCCGAGAAAGATTGACTCGCGAGGAGCAGGCTGGGTTTCGTTCTGGTCGAGGTTGTATTGATCATATCTTCACCCTCCGTCAAATGTTAGAACATCGCCATACTTATCAAAGGCCAACAATCGTAGTGTTTCTTGACATCAGGGCTGCCTTCGATTCGTTGGACAGGACTGTTCTCTGAGATTGTCTATTGAAGAAGGGTGTGCCTGAGAAGTTTATTAACATCCTAAAAGCTCTATATACAAACACCTCAGGCAGAGTGAGGGCATACAATCACCTCTCTCCATTGTTCCATTCGAGTAGTGGGGTTAGGCAGGGTTGCCCAATCTCACCATTCCTCTTCAACTTTGCCATCGATGACATTCTGGAAACAGCTCTGATGAATGTAAGTAATGGTGGTGTGGATCTGTTACCTGGAGAAAGACTTCTCGACCTTGAGTATGCGGACGATATTGTCCTACTGTGCGATAATGCCCAAGGCATGCAATCCGCACTTAATCAGTTGGCAATCAGTGTCCGTAGGTATGGTATGTGCTTTGCACCTTCGAAGTGCAAAGTACTTCTACAAGACTGGCAGGATTCCAATTTTGTACTCACCCTGGATGGTGAGCAGATAGACGTAGTCGAGAAGTTCGTGTATCTGGGTAGCTGCATAAGTGCTGGTGGGGGTGTGAGTGATGAGATCAATGCACGTATAGTGAAAGCCAGAGTGGCTTATGCCAATCTGAGTCACCTTTGGCGCCTTCGTGATGTTAGTCTGGCTGTAAAAGGTCGGATCTACAACGCGTCGGTGAGAGCAGTTTTGCTCTATGCTTGTGAAACCTGACCTCTCCAAGTTGAGGACGTTAGACGACTCTCTGTGTTCGATCATCTCTGTCTCCGAAGGATTGCTGACATTCAGTGGCAACACCATGTCAATAATGCAGAGGTTCGGCATCGTGTGTTTGGGCACAGAGATGATAATTCAATTGGTGTCACCATCTTGAAACACCGACTTCGGTGGCTTGGACATGTTTCTCGAATGTCGTCCCAGAGAATTCCACGTCGTGCATTATTTGCCGACTCTGGGACTGGTTGGAAAAAGCGGAGAGGTGGTCAGTGCATGACTTGGTGTCGTGGTATGAAAGAAAGCTGCAAACGACTGGCTTGTGTTGGTCCTTCACGACTCCCTGGTTGGGGTCTGAGAGATGGTGCTACACAGTGGCTAGAGACGTTATCAGATATGGCCCAGAATAGAAGCCAGTGGCGATCCTGCTGTAACCTTCTTTTACTTTCTCATAATAGTGGTTGTGTCTCCCTTACTTGAAAGATTTCTTCTGATTGTACCTTTCCGTTCCATCGTTACGACCACACTACCATACACCAATCTCTTCGTTATCGTTCTCTTTTTCTTTTGTGCTCCTTAGTTTTTTTTTTCTATCTCTCTTCGAATTTTCATTGTTTTGTGTGGCGCATATATTTTGGCGCTCTCTTGTGCCAATATTTATGTGCTCAAGTAAATAAATAAATAAGCATGTGCTCCAGAATGAGCGACAGTCTTCTATCGAGCCCCTCCATCGGTGGCTGATGGCAATGTGATATATTTGGGTCCAACGTTGGGACGAATTATGGGGTCGCCATGTGAAAAGATGTTTTTCCTTATGCTTAAAGTTAGTATTTGCAAGGAACAGGCGATTATCTGAGCATAGCTGCAACAGACGGTCGCCATCATCTGTTCTTTGAGCCACGACACCATAAGATCCACCTAGGTGTCTTTCCCTATCGCTTAGTTTACCTACTTGAGCATTAAAGTCACCGGCTACTATTACTACATCCGAGCGCCTAGCTTTTCGGAGAAGGTCGAAAAGCTTTCGGTAAAACTCATCTTTTACATTATCTGAGCTGCAGTCAGTGGGAGAATAGGCAGAAACGACGAAGAGGCAACGACGGGTGTCCCTATCTTTCTGGATTCTTACTGTTCCGTTCAGTCGGACAGCGCACAAACGGCTGTCTACTGGGATCCACTCTAAGAGCTAATTCTGCTCTGGGACTCAATGCTATACCTATGCCGGCGAGTCCACGGGAAGCAGAATCAGGGCTTCCAGATACACCAAGCGTAAATCGAGTCGGTTCTTTATTTTGGCGTGGTGAAGTCAGATGAATGACGCTACTCGGATCTTGTATGCCCGAATCGGAGACGCAGCACACATCGATGGCGCGAGATTCTAAAGTCCTAGCTAAGAAAGCCTGCTGTCCTATTTGACACAGTGTTCGGACGTTAAAAGCTCCTACGTGTAGTTTAGAGCGTGGTTTCAGGAGACCAGGAATAGCGTTCCACATACTCGAATCGTTTGTCCTAGCGTTGCGATGTGATACAGAGACATGAGGAGGGTTAGTCATGGAGATAAGAGAGGTATTAGGAGGTGTAGGAAGGATTTGAATGTGACCAACTTGGTCTCGTGTGCTGTTACGTGTATGAGGGCTGATGTCACTTCCCGGCTGCCCACACCGTGGAAGGGTATTTCTTGAGGAACCTGAAAAGGAAATTGGATTAGTGTTGGTCTTGACGATATGGGAGCGTGACAGCAGAGCACAAGGGACAACTGCTTGAGGCCGTCCGCGCACGGCCTTTTTGTGGAAGGTTTTTGACGTGTTAGCTCCGTTCTTCAAAGGACCTTACTGCCGGAGACGGAAATCCGTGAGGTTAGGTGAGGTGTGACATTTTTAGGGCCGACCTTTTTAAACCCCATACCTTGTTGAGGGAAGGCAGCATTGCTGTCATGTTGGTTGTCTGAGGGAAACACCTTACTGCTGTCACACCTCTCTACAGTCAGCAGTACGACTTCGCCCTCAGACCTTGAGTTGCTGCTTTTAGTCTTACCGTTCACCAATCGACCTGCCTGGCAAGGTAGAACCTACAGGAACATATGTTTCAGCCAATATAGCTCGTTTGGGTCATCACGATAGGCAAGCCCAACCACCGCGTCGAGGTAGCAGCTTCGGTCGGGCATGTTAATAGTCGCATAAAATTTGTCAAATTTGAATACTTAAATTTTATGGGGCCGAAGATGTGGTGCATACTCTTAGCCAACAGTATTTCTAAAACAGGTTAAAAACAACTTGTGGTTATTATCATAACATGAACAATCATTGGAACTGATTAATTAGATTAAGAAAAACTAATGGCAGCTAGTCATTAATGAAATAAACAATCAGTCAGTATGTTTGTTTAGGAACCATATTGTATAGTTTATCTCAAAGTAAAAGGATTTAACTGAAGGCTTATAGTAAGTTTGAAGTAGTTAACATTATCCTGTCAGTGATATGTGCACTGTATAGACTCCCCGGTACTCTTTATGATAACTAACATCAATTTATATCGTTTATAAATTGAAGTTGATTAGGCGCTCAACGCAAGACTTCAGGCTTATATTATATATTGAAAAATATGAATTAAATCATTTACCATATCTAACAACTGATCCATATATGGAACCTGTTTCATTCATTGAAACGAAGACAACAACAAGAAAAACAACCGGGAAATTTGATCAATACAAAGAAAATCAATCTCATTGATCATTATGATGATATGGATATGGATACAGCAGTGAATGAAAATGGTGATTAAATCTAATTAAATAGTAAGTTGCATAAGATGATGTTCAAAATAGAAATGACAGTATACTATAAACGTATATGATTAATATATGGAAGATATTGTTGAGATTGTACAATTTTTGTGGCTTGCATGATGGAATAGACGATCACTGCAAAGTACAAAGAATACTGGCATAACTGATTCATCCTGGATTTTGACTATTAAATAATTGTGAAACAGCATGACACGACGATATTCGGTTTAATCTCCAGAATACTGGTGATCGAGCGATTATTTAGCGCGTTACTTTTCTTCTGGATTAGGTCGCTATCCTCATGCTCAACCATCCTTGTTTATAAATGTTTGAGACTGGAAGGATTCCAGGCGTATTCAGTCATGGATATTTGGTAGATTAAACAATGTACTACTCAACGGACTTAGAAAAAACGTCGAGTTATTTAATTCTAAGTTTGCAAAGTGTATGTAATCATAATACTTAGTCGAATTAAAATTCATTCGCCCAAAACTGAATCAACCATGACAGCCTTTAGAGTACTGAACTTATGTTATTTGATTTTTGTTGTATACAGTTCGCAACGTGAAGTGTTGTTTCAGGTTAATGTCTTGAAAAACTGACTCTTTGGTAGTTACCGCAGTTCTAAACCTATGGAATTCAGTCAACAGTTTCTAAACCTCAAGATTAATTGGTGAATTTGCAAGCTAAAATGCATGTTTTATTATTGCTGTAGAAGTGAAATACGGTTGTGCTCAGTATCTGTGGTCTAGAGGTCAGGCGTTCGCGCGCGAGATCGAAGGTCCTGGATCGCAGTTCTGAGCGTAGGATTGTGAAAATTCCTTACTGAATAGTTTCATAATTGGACGAAATGGCCATCCAATGCTATTAGGTTTTCAATGGCCGTCCAATATTGATCGTCGATTCATGATTTCGAAGAGAATTTGTTTCAGTGAATTTTTATGAATTTAACTCAGTTAAAAATGTAGTACACAAGTTAATGCTTCTTACTTTTCATTCACTTATCATCAATACTAAATCTCAACAGCGTATGGTTGTACACAATATATAAATTATTTTTCTTTCAAATCATTGAATGACAACTGTTAGTCAGATTATAAAATTATAATGAATTACCTAATTTTGACAAAATCTAAATCATTTGGTTGATCACTGGGTTGTGATCAGTGTTATAGATAGAATTGGATCTGCACTGAGGATGACCTGATCCACTTCACCTTTATAACTTATCAACCAGTAATCAATCAATTGTAAAAGAGAGAGATTAGTCACGACTATGAAGCTGTGTGACACGGGATCAAGTCAGTCAGGGAGCATCAGTGGCGTGAAGATTGCAGGTACACCTTGTTGTCGACCTTTTAACTGTAACCACCACCTCATATACTTAGTTTATTTTTTTCAAGTGTATAAACACATCTGCGATAGCTGTTAAATGTTAAGATTTTTGACTATTTCGTCGTTTCACATGTTATCGAACGTCGCAATATAGAATCGTGTTTTATTTAAATAGATTATAGAATTAGAATGAAATTACAGAATTTGATGATTAGTAAGTTGTTCAGTAAAGACAAACTGTTTAAAGCTTAGACTAATTCAAGTTAATAGAAAGATGCAGCTTGGTACAGTGTAATTAGTACATTCAGCTGACCAGTCCCATGATTAGACGGAACGTGTGTCATGCATTGCTCTACTAGACACCATTCATCTCTACTTATTATGCTTGTGACTTACTGGCAATATTGAGGCTATCCTCACAGACAGGATGAACATATGACAATACGACAGATAGATTAATCACGATCCTCAACATCAATAGGAAGGTTCAATCAACCTGAAGAAAAAAGAAATCAATGTAACTGTAGTTATCTATTTAGTTTAATCAATAATTTATCAATTTAGGCACTTTATTAGAAAAAAAACTGTTAGGTTTGAAGCTTCACGGGTTCACTTAGACTGCGAACGAGAACAATACTCAATGACCAAAGACCAGTGATCTAACTATTGACGCGTCCCAGCCCCGCTATCTAGAAGGAGAAGTCCAGGCTTGGTATGGAAAATATATTCTGCATACAACCAGCAAACGAGCGAGCAAGCAAGCAGCAGCAGCGAACACTCAGACACAAATTAAACGTATATATATATAAATATATAAAATCGATATTGTCATATTAAAATGTTATTTTTAAACATGACTCATTCAGTTCATCACTCGACAGGCATTCGAATATTTAGTCGATAAGTTCATCATGTGACTTCCATCCAAATATTTAATCGATGAGTCAATCGATATGATAAAATTACAAATATGAATTTTGGGAATATACCGTCCCAACACTCCTCCCCTTTTTAATAGCGTGCTTTTCTGGGGTCGACTTGCATTTTGACTGTAGTTCGCCGCTGACGGGGAGGCCACCTTCTGGGACGGGGATCATCTTGCTGTTGAGCTACTTGTGGTGGGGCTGCAGGTAAGTTGAAAGTATCAAGCAAGATGTCGAGGGGAAGATTTACTGCATTTGATGGGTGGTCTGGGGCAATCCGCTTACGTAGTTGGTTTCGGTGTATAGTCCACGTGTCTCTTCCCACCTTTACCTCGTACATAACTTGACCTAGTCTTCTAATCACACGTGCTTCGATCCAAGGGCCATGATTTGCTCTGTAGTCTCGAGCGAACACGGGGCATCCAACCTCGTACGCTGGAAGCTTCTGAGATTTGTTATGGGATGGTGGTGGTGTGGTTCTTGGGCACATGAGACTGTGGATCGTCCTCAATTTCCTTCCCATCAGGATCTCTGCCGGGGACTTCTGCTGTGGTAGCACATCACCAGGTGTTGTTCGGTAAACAAACAAGAAATTCTGCAGTGTTTCTACTGTCGTCCCCTCCCCTTTCGACTTCATTAGAGCTCTCTTAAATGTATCTACAAATCTTTCTGCTTGTCCATTTGACTGTGGGTGGTAAGGTGGAGAGCGGAAATGCTTGATCGATAGGCGTTTGCAAAATTCTTGAAATTGACTTGAGGTGAATTGCGAACCATTATCGGAAACGATTATATCCGGTAACCCGTTGCGAGAGAACATCTCTGTCAAAAGTTGTATCGTTTGAGTTGTCGTTGGTGGTATGACGGGAACGATTTCTGGCCATTTCAAAAAGGCGTCAACAACGACTAGATAGGTAATCCCATTAATTGGGCCTGCGAAATCGACATGTATCCTGGACCAGGGATACTTAGGCTGTGGCCATGAGACCGGCAGTAATTTCGCGTTACACTTGGCTGCTTGCTGACACTGTGCGCGGTCCTCTGTCAATGTGGAGGCAATAACTGCATCTTCGCCGGCCGTATGATGTTCGCTGGTCGAAAACTCCGTCATTAGTTCTTTCGAATATGCTTCAGGTTCATGGGGTTGTTCCACCAGATGACATACGGTGCTTAACGGAACTTCAGCTAAATGTAGCCGATCAAACCAGTCTAACCCAAGTAGATTAAGATCAGCTGGTGTGATGTAACATAATCCGGTAAACGTCGAATCATGAAAAGTCACTTTACAATCTAGTTGTCCCAACAAACGTAGATAATTACCACATGCGGTTTGCGGTTTTTGTGTTGTCGGCACCAGGCGTGGTCTTCCCATTCTGATCCAAGATTTTCGTGAGAGAATCGTTACATCAGATGCAGTGTCTATTTGCAATCTAAGAGGGTGCCCATTAATATTAAGGGTAATAAATTTCCTCTCAACTGGGGTTGAGTTCTCACAGCTTGCTATTAGACTCAACGAATTCGTGTTGGATCTAGGCGTAGGTTTTCTGGTACCTCTGGAGTTGCTCGGCTTTTTTTTTCGACAAAAACCATCTTTATGACCCACCACATTACATTTCCTGCACCGATGTTGCTTATATGGACAGTATCGAACAAAATGTCATGCACCGCAGTGCCAGCATGGAGCAGGAGGATTTGTTTTTGTCTGTCGACCTGAACTAGATGTAGCTGGGGCAGATTTATGCGAGTTGAGTGGTTGTTGGACTACATGAACTTCGGTACGATTTGAACCACCACGCTGGACCATTGTAGTATCACGCTGTAGATTGATTAGACGTTGATATTCATTTGCAATATCATAAAGAGTTAGTTTTGGGTCTTGGACCAATCGACTTAGCAAACGTGTTCCAATGTCACTGAACTTCTGCGATTAAAGGCTGCAGATGAGAATGAGTGCTTTAAATTGATCTTCAGTAAGTGACTTCAACCGGAAGCGTTCACATTCTCGGTTGACAATACCCACATGTGTGAGAAAATCATCATCTTCGTTCATAGTGAGCTTCAAACATCGATAGCGCGCATTGAATAGTGAGGAGTTGTCTCCGAATTGTTGGCTCAATGACTGGACAGTGTCGGAGAATGAACGATCGCGTGGGTTTGAAGGCAGAATTAGATTGCAATACTTGTCTAGTTCACTAGGACCCAACTTTCGAAGCAGTAAGCGGACCTTCCAAGCATCATCCTGGTTGGCAAAGTCAAATTTGAATAAGTCTCCGTAACGTCGAAACCACATATCAAACGTGACATTGGATTCTGGATCGTAATGAAACTCGGAGATACTGTTAGCAATACCATCAACTGATGGTGCAGTAGTAGTAGGATTAGAACTGCTTGGATGAGAATTAGACGTAAGCTTTGCATCTGCTAACATTTGAATAAGTTTCATCTGCTGCTCGAGTAATAATTCAAGTTTAGATGGATCCATATTTCCGAAATCACCGCCGCCAAATTGTTAGGTTTGAAGCTTCACGGGTTCACTTAGACTGCGAACGAGAACAATACTCAATGACCAAAGACCAGTAATCTAACTATTGACGCGTCCCAGCCCCGCTATCTAGAAGGAGAAGTCCAGGCTTGGTATGGAAAATATATTCTGCATACAACCAGCAAACGAGCGAGCAAGCAAGCAGCAGCAGCGAACACTCAGACACAAATTAAACGTATATATATAAATATATAAAATCGATATTGTCATATCAAAATGTTATTTTTAAACATGACTCATTCAGTTCATCACTCGACAGGCATTCGAATATTTAGTCGATAAGTTCATCATGTGACTTCCATCCAAATATTTAATCGATGAGTCAGTCGATATGATAAAATTACAAATATGAATTTTGGGAATATACCGTCCCAACACTCCTCCTTTTTTTAATAGCGTGCTTTTCTGGGGTCGACTTGCATTTTGACTGTAGTTCGCCGCTGACGGAGAGGACACCTTCTGGGACGGGGATCATCTTGCTGTTGAGCTACTTGTGGTGGGGCTGCAAGTAAGTTGAAAGTATCAAGCAAGATGTCGAGGGGAAGATTTACTGCATTTGATGGGTGGTCTGGGGCAATCCGCTTACGTAGTTGGTTTCGGTGTATAGTCCACGTGTCTCTTCCCACCTTTACCTCGTACATAACTTGACCTAGTCTTCTAATCACACGTGCTTCGATCCAAGGGCCATGATTTGCTCTGTAGTCTCGAGCGAACACGGGGCATCCAACCTCGTACGCTGGAAGCTTCTGAGATTTGTTATGGGATGGTGGTGGTGTGGTTCTTGGGCACATGAGACTGTGGATCGTCCTCAATTTCCTTCCCATCAGGATCTCTGCCGGGGACTTCTGCTGTGGTAGCACATCACCAGGTGTTGTTCGGTAAACAAACAAGAAATTCTGCAGTGTTTCTACTGTCGTCCCCTCCCCTTTCGACTTCATTAGAGCTCTCTTAAATGTATCTACAAATCTTTCTGCTTGTCCATTTGACTGTGGGTGGTAAGGTGGAGAGCGGAAATGCTTGATCGATAGGCGTTTGCAAAATTCTTGAAATTGACTTGAGGTGAATTGCGAACCATTATCGGAAACGATTATATCCGGTAACTCGTTGCGAGAGAACATCTCTGTCAAAAGTTGTATCGTTTGAGTTGTCGTTGGTGGTATGACGGGAACGATTTCTGGCCATTTCAAAAAGGCGTCAACAACGACTAGATAGGTAATCCCATTAATTGGGCCTGCGAAATCGACATGTATCCTGGACCAGGGATACTTAGGCTGTGGCCATGAGACCGGCAGTAATTTCGCGTTACACTTGGCTGCTTGCTGACACTGTGCGCGGTCCTCTGTCAATGGGGAGGCAATAACTGCATCTTCGCCGGCCGTATGATGTTCGCTGGTCGAAAACTCCGTCATTAGTTCTTTCGAATATGCTTCAGGTTCATGGGGTTGTTCCACCAGATGACATACGGTGCTTAACGGAACTTCAGCTAAATGTAGCCGATCAAACCAGTCTAACCCAAGTAGATTAAGATCAGCTGGTGTGATGTAACATAATCCGGTAAACGTCGAATCATGAAAAGTCACTTTACAATCTAGTTGTCCCAACAAACGTAGATAATTACCACATGCGGTTTGCGGTTTTTGTGTTGTCGGCACCAGGCGTGGTCTTCCCATTCTGATCCAAGATTTTCGTGAGAGAATCGTTACATCAGATGCAGTGTCTATTTGCAATCTAAGAGGGTGCCCATTAATATTAAGGGTAATAAATTTCCTCTCAACTGGGGTTGAGTTCTCACAGCTTGCTATTAGACTCAACGAATTCGTGTTGGATCTAGGCGTAGGTTTTCTGGTACCTCTGGAGTTGCTCGGCTTTTTTTTTCGACAAAAACCATCTTTATGACCCACCACATTACATTTCCTGCACCGATGTTGCTTATATGGACAGTATCGAACAAAATGTCATGCACCGCAGTGCCAGCATGGAGCAGGAGGATTTGTTTTTGTCTGTCGACCTGAACTAGATGTAGCTGGGGCAGATTTATGCGAGTTGAGTGGTTGTTGGACTACATGAACTTCGGTACGATTTGAACCACCACGCTGGACCATTGTAGTATCACGCTGTAGATTGATTAGACGTTGATATTCATTTGCAATATCATAAAGAGTTAGTTTTGGGTCTTGGACCAATCGACTTAGCAAACGTGTTCCAATGTCACTGAACTTCTGCGATTGAAGGCTGCAGATGAGAATGAGTGCTTTAAATTGATCTTCAGTAAGTGACTTCAACCGGAAGCGTTCACATTCTCGGTTGACAATACCCACATGTGTGAGAAAATCATCATCTTCGTTCATAGTGAGCTTCAAACATCGATAGCGCGCATTGAATAGTGAGGAGTTGTCTCCGAATTGTTGGCTCAATGACTGGACAGTGTCGGAGAATGAACGATCGCGTGGGTTTGAAGGCAGAATTAGATTGCAATACTTGTCTAGTTCACTAGGACCCAACTTTCGAAGCAGTAAGCGGACCTTCCAAGCATCATCCTGGTTGGCAAAGTCAAATTTGAATAAGTCTCCGTAACGTCGAAACCACATATCAAACGTGACATTGGATTCTGGATCGTAATGAAACTCGGAGATACTGTTAGCAATACCATCAACTGATGGTGCAGTAGTAGTAGGATTAGAACTGCTTGGATGAGAATTAGACGTAAGCTTTGCATCTGCTAACATTTGAATAAGTTTCATCTGCTGCTCGAGTAATAATTCAAGTTTAGATGGATCCATATTTCCGAAATCATCGCCGCCAAATTGTTAGGTTTGAAGCTTCACGGGTTCACTTAGACTGCGAACGAGAACAATACTCAATGACCAAAGACCAGTAATCTAACTATTGACGCGTCCCAGCCCCGCTATCTAGAAGGAGAAGTCCAGGCTTGGTATGGAAAATATATTCTGCATACAACCAGCAAACGAGCGAGCAAGCAAGCAGCAGCAGCGAACACTCAGACACAAATTAAACGTATATATATAAATATATAAAATCGATATTGTCATATCAAAATGTTATTTTTAAACATGACTCATTCAGTTCATCACTCGACAGGCATTCGAATATTTAGTCGATAAGTTCATCATGTGACTTCCATCCAAATATTTAATCGATGAGTCAATCGATATGATAAAATTACAAATATGAATTTTGGGAATATACCGTCCCAACACTCCTCCTTTTTTTAATAGCGTGCTTTTCTGGGGTCGACTTGCATTTTGACTGTAGTTCGCCGCTGACGGAGAGGACACCTTCTGGGACGGGGATCATCTTGCTGTTGAGCTACTTGTGGTGGGGCTGCAAGTAAGTTGAAAGTATCAAGCAAGATGTCGAGGGGAAGATTTACTGCATTTGATGGGTGGTCTGGGGCAATCCGCTTACGTAGTTGGTTTCGGTGTATAGTCCACGTGTCTCTTCCCACCTTTACCTCGTACATAACTTGACCTAGTCTTCTAATCACACGTGCTTCGATCCAAGGGCCATGATTTGCTCTGTAGTCTCGAGCGAACACGGGGCATCCAACCTCGTACGCTGGAAGCTTCTGAGATTTGTTATGGGATGGTGGTGGTGTGGTTCTTGGGCACATGAGACTGTGGATCGTCCTCAATTTCCTTCCCATCAGGATCTCTGCCGGGGACTTCTGCTGTGGTAGCACATCACCAGGTGTTGTTCGGTAAACAAACAAGAAATTCTGCAGTGTTTCTACTGTCGTCCCCTCCCCTTTCGACTTCATTAGAGCTCTCTTAAATGTATCTACAAATCTTTCTGCTTGTCCATTTGACTGTGGGTGGTAAGGTGGAGAGCGGAAATGCTTGATCGATAGGCGTTTGCAAAATTCTTGAAATTGACTTGAGGTGAATTGCGAACCATTATCGGAAACGATTATATCCGGTAACCCGTTGCGAGAGAACATCTCTGTCAAAAGTTGTATCGTTTGAGTTGTCGTTGGTGGTATGACGGGAACGATTTCTGGCCATTTCAAAAAGGCGTCAACAACGACTAGATAGGTAATCCCATTAATTGGGCCTGCGAAATCGACATGTATCCTGGACCAGGGATACTTAGGCTGTGGCCATGAGACCGGCAGTAATTTCGCGTTACACTTGGCTGCTTGCTGACACTGTGCGCGGTCCTCTGTCAATGGGGAGGCAATAACTGCATCTTCGCCGGCCGTATGATGTTCGCTGGTCGAAAACTCCGTCATTAGTTCTTTCGAATATGCTTCAGGTTCATGGGGTTGTTCCACCAGATGACATACGGTGCTTAACGGAACTTCAGCTAAATGTAGCCGATCAAACCAGTCTAACCCAAGTAGATTAAGATCAGCTGGTGTGATGTAACATAATCCGGTAAACGTCGAATCATGAAAAGTCACTTTACAATCTAGTTGTCCCAACAAACGTAGATAATTACCACATGCGGTTCGCGGTTTTTGTGTTGTCGGCACCAGGCGTGGTCTTCCCATTCTGATCCAAGATTTTCGTGAGAGAATCGTTACATCAGATGCAGTGTCTATTTGCAATCTAAGAGGGTGCCCATTAATATTAAGGGTAATAAATTTCCTCTCAACTGGGGTTGAGTTCTCACAGCTTGCTATTAGACTCAACGAATTCGTGTTGGATCTAGGCGTAGGTTTTCTGGTACCTCTGGAGTTGCTCGGCTTCTTTTTTCGACAAAAACCATCTTTATGACCCACCACATTACATTTCCTGCACCGATGTTGCTTATATGGACAGTATCGAACAAAATGTCATGCACCGCAGTGCCAGCATGGAGCAGGAGGATTTGTTTTTGTCTGTCGACCTGAACTAGATGTAGCTGGGGCAGATTTATGCGAGTTGAGTGGTTGTTGGACTACATGAACTTCGGTACGATTTGAACCACCACGCTGGACC